CTTCCTTTGCCGCCTGGGCTTGGCGGGCTCTCGCGCCATTCAGGCGAGGATTCAACAGCTCGTTGGCCATGTCAGCGTCGTCGCTTGTACGTCTCGAAGAGGGACGGCGGCGGGCGTTGCTGCGCGCAAGGTTGATCTTTGGGGTGGGCAATTTCCAATCAGATTCTGTTGGAGACAGTGGGGGCGATGCTTCTGTTAGCTCAGGCGCATAGCGGAAGACGGGCGGAAAAGTCGCAGAGGTCGGCGGCGTATACAGGGCGACAACGACGGGGGGAGGGGTCGACGGGGGGGCAAGACGGTCGGGGTCTCGGCGGAGGACGAGGTTCGCGGCGGAGGGGAGAGTTTCGGGGTAGGAGGAGTAAGCAGGCTTGAGATGCGTCTTGGTGACGGGAGGCTGCTCAGGAGCGGTCAAGGATCGCGACAGGGTCGGGGTATTGAAGGGACCAGACGGGCCGTCGAAATGGTCGGCTTCTGTCGAGCGTGTCAGTGGCCATGAGATGTCCTCTTTTTTTGGCGTTTGGCGGCGCCTTGTACGTTTTGGAGTTGATTTTTGTTTGGTGGAAAAGTCAAGGAAGCCCATGTTGACGTTGTTCGCCGGCAGGTCGACGACTCAGGCAACGTCCATAGGAGGGAGGGTGGTGTTGAGAAGCAGAAGGTGCTAGGGCGCCGAGGTCGAGGTTGAAGTCGAGGTCGAGGTCGAGGTCGACGAGATTGGCGAAATGGACGCGGCCATTGCAGTTGGTTGTGATGTGGTTGGTGTACTTACGCGAGAGTGAAAGTGAAAGATTGGGAAGCCACAAGATGGCAAGGCTAGCAGGCGGACGAACAGGGCCGTGACATGATCTTGCGCATATTTTCGAGGCCCGGGGCAGGTGCGGGTGCGGTGCGGTGCGGTGCGGTGCGGTGCGGTGCGGTTACTGGTGGGCGTGGGCGTGGGCGTGGGCGTGTGGAGATCGAGGGAAGCTGCGACTGCGTCGGGGGGGGGGGCGGCCTCGACGTCTCAGGCCTCAGCGACGACAGCTGCAGTGTCCCGCCAGGCCGGCCGCGGGCAGAAGATGGGTCGTGTCGGGTCGTGTCGTGTCGGTTCGTGTCGACCTGAGGCCCTGGGCAGGTCAGGGCTGGTTACCTTGGGGGACGGAGAACAGTTGCGGTTGACAGCCAGTGCCGTCGAGGCTCAAAGGGAGTCGGTGGTCGGTGGTCGGTGGTCGGTGGTCGGTGGTCGGTGGTCGGTGGTCGGTCGTCGGTGGTCGCAGTAGCGGCTGGAGGCCTTGGCTGGCTGCCCATGATCGCTGCAGGGGTCCCTGTTTCGAGGCGATGATGTCAGCTGTCTGAGGCGAACTGGAAGAACTGGAAGAACTGGAACCGGGACTGATCAGGGTAATTCTTCATTCCCCATTCTCTTCTTCTCCAACCCTTTCCAGCAGCTACGACTTTACATCTGCACACACAGCGCATTCATGGCTCCTCCAAACAACTGGGTCAACCGCCAAGTCCAAGGCGCCGTCGCCTCGGCTGGCGGCTTTGTCGGCAACGTCATCAACGGTGTGGGCAGCGGCGTTTCGGGCGTTGGTCGAGGCATCGGTAACAGGTGCCTTCTCCCTTTGCAGAATTTAAGCTTAATGCCCACAACTGACTCGTTCCCCCTCTGACAGCGTCGCAAACACCTCGCGCGGACTGGGCGATGGCGTCCGCGGCTACGGCAACAACATCAAGGACGCCACTCACGCATCAGGCCGCAGGGCCCCGACTGCCACCAACCCGCTGGGTCTCGCTGGCGGCTCTACCCAATCTGCCGCCGCCCTCAAGAATGTAACCAAGAGACTCCCCGGCACCAAGGGCAGCGCGAGCAACCCCCTTGGCTTGTAGTAGTCACGAAAGTGGAAAAACACGCGACCATCAACACGGCATACCTAGACTACATCATGTAGCTACGACCAACGCACAATCTTTACGACCTGCATAACGATTCGCACATTTCATCCAAGTTCATACGAGGGCGAGGAATAGTGGTTTGTTTCATCTTTCAAAATTCAATTCGGAACTATCAGTACAACGGTCTTCATGCCACCACGGGTATTCAGCCGCTGAATCAGAATCTCCATCTTTGCACAGCGCCCATGTCCTTTTGCCTCTCGAAAGTGATCCCAGACGCCTCTCATGCCGTGTCCAAAACTTCCTTAAGAGACCGCCACGACTTTTCGTATCCAGCCCCCAAAACTCCACGCTGAAAGCACATTTTCCGAAAATCAATCCAGACCATTCGCCGAAAGCCCAGACCCGCACTGCACGCCTGACCGCACATCATCCACTCATCTCTGTGGCTGTGCCCTCCTCGAAATCCTCGCCGTCCGATTCTTCGCCTGGCGCCTCCGTGTCGCTGTCGTCCTCGACTTCTGGCTCCAGGCCCGGGATGCTCTTCCACTCGTTGTAATCGCCCTGCATCCACCGCTTGCTCCTGGGCAGGCTGTACGGGTCAAATGGAAAGTACCCGTCCAACTGCAGCGAGTCGTCGCCAAGCTTCGCCGAAAGCGCCGTCTCTCTTTCTTGTAGACCTCCGTAGAGAACCGCCGACGACACTGTCCTGGAGAGACGCAGCTTTTTGTTCGTCTCAACGAGCGGGAACACGTAGAGGAACCGGAGATGGTGCGCAATACGAGCGAATTGGCCCACAATCGCCGGCGAGCACACCTTGAGCGGGTTCAGCTTGGAGTAAATGTTGCGCATCAGGTTCTCTTTGATGCCAGGCAGCCATGTAAGGTCTCTCCCCTCCAACAGAAGCTGGTCGTCGTCCTCAAGATCGTCTGTGTCGCCAATAATCAGCTCCCGCCAGCGGAAGCAGAAAATGTAAATGAGAGCCTGAGCCATGCCGTAGTAGGTTGCGTAGCGACGGAGGTCCGGCCCTTTGCATTGCGCTTCATTGTTGACGCGGAAGTTGTCCAGCTGAGCACCAAGAACGTAGAAAACGTCCCGGACCGTGGCAGTCGGGATGTGCGCTCCTCGGGAAATGAAGCTCGCGAGGTAAGCAGATGCCGTTAGGCGCATGATTTCCGGGCGTGTCCGGTCAAAGGCCATGGAGGCACAAGCCCCGGTGAATCGATCAATATATTTTGTAGCCATCTGACCATAGTGGAACAGCAAAAACTGCGTGTGCCTGGAACGATACGTCGGGACAAGGGTGTTGGTGAATTGCGAAATGAGAAGCTCCCATGTGGCGTCGGCATCAACGACGGTGCCCTTGACGAATATCTGGTGATAGTACTCAAAGAGCATGTCGATCATGGCGTCCATCTTGCCAACAGACTCCCTCACCTTCTTCAGGCGCTTTTCGTCAGTCGGCTCATCCAGACTGGTCACAGACTCATCATCGCTATCTTCTCCAGACATATCGTCGTCATCGTCTTCAACAATCTTGGCCTCCTCGTTTTGGTTCATGGCGTCTTCGACGAGCCTCTCTTCTATGTCGTCATCCAAATCTTCCATGTCGACTTGGATCTGCACATCTATTTTGACAAGTCTTTCAGTGATAAGCGCGAGAATGGCGCCCTTCAGCTCCGGTGCGTAGCTGGTAATCTCCAAGAGGTTTTGGGTATAAAAGACGTGGACCTTGGTGGAGTCGGCGGCAAAAGGAAACGACGCGGCCAGGATGTTTGAGAGAACACCGCTGGCGGAGGGTATAAGCTTGAGGATGCGCTTGAGGGCTTCGTGCACGCGTTCGCGCAGCTGCGGCCTCGTCACAGGAGGATCAACCGAATGACGGATGGCAGGCGATGGCACTTGAAAAAGTTAGCGCCTGGCACAATGCTTGTGCGGCACGATAACTTACGCTCCACGAAGTATTTGACAAGCATCTGCAGGACCTGCGAGGTATATCCACCCTGTGCAGAGATCAAGCTCCCCAGGAGCGTGACGTACAACCTCTTGAACGATTCATCCCTTGCAAGCCACTGGCAATCCAGGACGGCGTGGACAAGCCCAGAGCAGTTTCTGCCAAGCAGATTGACGCTGCCAATGAGCGCAATGACATATTTGTTGAGCAGCTTCGTGGAAGGCGCGTCGGAAGCGGAGGGTCGCGTTGCGAAAAGAGCCTTGATTTGGTCGTAGTCTGTGCTGTCCCCGGAAATGTGGTTGTCGATGGCGCGACGGACTTCCTCTCTGATCAGGTCCAGACCCTTCTCGTCGTAATCCTCGAGGACGTGGACTTCAATCGCCGGATCGAACGACACTCTGGCCCTCTTGGGTGCGTGGAAGGATAGTTCGGGCTCTGGTTCGTCGTCCGAGGATTCAATTTGCTTGCGTTTGCGGCTGGTGTTGGCGATGATGGCTGGGTTGGCTGAGCTGGCAGGGGGCGACGGCAGGGCCGCGACAGGTGCAGCGAGCGACACCATGGCTCAAAGGCGCATGCCGCGATGTGGAGAGGAAAAGAAAAGAGAGGGTCGCGGCGGAGGAGAGGTATGCAAAGTGGGCGTAAGCGTGGCTAACACAGGCGTGAAGGAAGTGTCGCGTGTGGAGTTCCGGGACGGGCGAGGAGTGCCCGATGAGAATTCTGGCTGCCACAGCAGTCCGTGCATTGGCGCCAAGCACCAAAATGGATGATCCCGCGTCTCCCTCTCCCTCTCCCTGCGTTGCGTCATGAAGTCTGCTTCGGTTTATATCTTCAAGGCTGTCATGCTGAGCCATACTGACTCACTGTTAGAGCTGTCATCACTCTTCTCCAGTGGGTGCAGACCAATGAAGGATTCAGTCAAATTCACCTGGCGGATGAAGCTGCACCAAAGACTCATCGCCCTTGGCAACGCTGCTTTCCTAAGCCTCAGCAGCAAAAAGATTTTGATTTGCTCTGATTGGAAACTTAATTGCCATAAAGGCTGTTTAGGCGCGCTCTTGTCGCGTGTGCAACCCTCTCACGCGTCCGAGTCCGACCGACAAATTTTCTTCGCCCCACCGTGCGCGACCTTCATTGACTGCAAAAAGTTCTCTTCCAACGACAAAAGAACTGTGACAGGTCCTACCCGGGATCGAACCGGGGTTATGGGAATGCTCTGAAACTTCAGAATCCCATGTGCTAGCCACTACACTATAGAACCTCAAATCGCGAATTGTCTGAACTGAGAATGCCAAAATTATCTATATTTTGATCAACTAATGCCAGCGGCAGCGGATCTAAGCTATCATCAGCGATCGCTGTTCACAAGCTTGACAGCTGGCACTGTTCCCAGCGCAGCTAGCGTGGATCAAGTGTGGAGTTGGACGGAGCAGGATTTCACGTCCCGACATCCAGACATGTCCTGGCGCGACTGGGGTTGACCGTTTGTACCACTGAGCAGTCATTCATCGACGATTTCTAGCTGGAAAGAGGTGCAAGATCAACAAGAGAGGAGGAACATCCGAGCGCTGGGAGAGGGACAGAGGAGACACCAGGGCGCAGGATGGCATAAAAGAAACGTGGGTGGTGATGCCCTTTTCCCAGAGTCTCGTGGAACTCAAGCCAGCCGACATTTATTTGCTGCCATGCATGCACAAGTTGTCCATGCCTCAACGTACAACCGACACTGTTGTTGTGGCAGTCAACCCCTGAGTCAAGAAGCAAGACAACAGCACGGATCGAAACCAAAGGACCGCGGATGACGTCCCCATCCTTAGACATCCTGGGACATCCTCGGGCAATTCAAAGGTCAAACGCAGGTCAGTGGACAGGTACTGCCCCGAGCTCATGTCGAGACAGCTTGCATGGCGGCGGCATGCCGAGTTGAAAAGGCAGAATAAGTCTCGACACGACCTCAAGATCGTATTGCCCCCACGTGAACAGCCACTTGAAGCAAATGCAACATCCATACCAAATGCAGCATCCTCTGAATCGCAGGAGGCTCCACTGTTGACGGTCAAATGTGCGGACGGACGTCGTCGAAGGCAATGGAAGGAAGTATGGTCGGTGAGTCGGGCGCAGACAAGGCGAAGACAAGCAGAGACAATGAGAGAAGACAGCAGCGGAAGCGGGGCATCTGCTAGCAAAACAACAAGCGACTTATTAAGACGGCGGATCGCGAGAGTAAGCACCCGGCAGCGGGCCGGAAGAGAGGCATCCAGGTAATCAGCATTCCAGTGACGTCGTCAACGAGCGAGACAGCGGTAAGCAAGCGCGGAAATGACCCCGCGCGCTCGACAGCGTAAAGGCTATCTTCAGCTGTGACAGTGTAAATGATTGGCCCCCCCGGCAAAGGGCGGATGACGAACAATGGAAAATCGACGTGCTGATGAAGATGGACTAATGATTTGGCGGCGCGAGAGAGAGGGCGCAAGGGGCATGGCTCTTTGGGATTGGTAAGGCTTTGCTAATCAGTCAGCGCGCGTGCATCCCCCAGCGACGGTACCACTCGAAGCGCACGGATCATGCCGCACGCGAACATCCAGATTCCGGGGCGAGTATATAAAGACATGGCGGGCTCGAAGCACATCGCCCTTCCTCGTCTTTGCTTTTTGATACCCCCCAGTTGCCAACACCACAGCCACCACCATGGCTCCCAAGATCGCCATCGTCTACGTGAGCTCCCCCGAGTTACCCCGCTCAAGCTATACGAGCTCCAATCGAGCTGGCAAATACTGATTCTTGTGTCTCTGGCCAGTACTCCATGTACGGCCATGTGAAGCAACTCGCATTGGCTGAAAAGGAGGGCATTGAGGCTGCTGGTGGCTCTGCAACCCTTTTCCAGTACGCAGCCCATCAATGCTGAATCCATGACCTGTGTCTGACGATTCGACAGGGTTGCCGAGACCCTCCCCCAGGAGGTCCTGACCAAGATGCACGCTCCCCCCAAGGATGACAGCATTCCGGTCCTTGAGGACCCTGCCGTCCTCGAGCAGTTTGACGGCTTCCTGTTCGGCATTCCCACTCGCTACGGAAACTTCCCCGCGCAGTGGAAGACTTTCTGGTTCGTCTGACTCGAGAAACACCTCTAGCTGGACAGTCTGATGCTCATTCTATCTCCAGGGACAAGACTGGCGGCCAATGGCAAACTGGCGCCTTCTGGGGTAAGTACGCCGGTCTCTTCATCTCGACGGGCACGCTCGGCGGCGGCCAGGAGACGACGGCCATCTCGGCCATGTCGACCCTCGTGCACCACGGCATGATCTACGTCCCGCTGGGCTACAAGACCGTGTTCCCCTACATGGCCAACGTCGAAGAGGTTCGCGGTGGTTCGCCCTGGGGAGCTGGCACCTTTTCCGCCGCCGACGGCTCGCGCCAGCCTTCCAAGAACGAGCTCGAGGTGGCCAAGGCCCAGGGCACCGCCTTTTACCAGGCCCTTGCCAAGGTGGCGTGACTAGATGGCAGCGCGGCGGGCGCCATTGAGACTGGCGCGGGCAAGAAGGAGGACAAGCCCATTGGTGCTGTTGCTCCCCCTGAGACGCAAAAGGACACTCCTGCAGGGGGTAAGCCAAAGGCCAAAGCCAAGTCTGAGAAGAGCGGTCCTTGTGGTCTTCCTACTAAATGCGAAGTAATGTAATTGGAAAATTCAAACAAATATTCCTTGAGAAATTTTGCTAGTTTTGGTGACAGATCTACTTACAATCGTGCCGGCTCCATGAGGACTGAAAGACTATCAAATTCCGGGAAGGGTGAGCTAAGCCGAAAGGAAATACTACCACAACAAACTCCTCGATACGACCAAGGAATCGCAAGTAGGTGCCACGCCCATCGAAACGTGCGCGATGATGGTTTAGACAGAGGTTCAAAACCGAAACTTCCCGTGGCTCTTTCCATGCTGCCAGCGCCCGCATGAAAACGTACGGCACGCACGCTAACGCTGGGTACAAAGAAATACCGCAGGGAATAATATTCGCCACGTTGAATTGGATTGACTTTCGCAGGGCATCCCTTTTTACGCCCTCCGTGCCGTCGACCAGATTTGCGGGCAATTCTCCTAATCATGAGACGACGAATCGGTCTGTTGGCCCACCATCTCCTTGATGGTCTGCTCCAGGAGCTTCGGGACCCTGCCGTGCTTCTCAAGCAACTTCTCCAATGTGGGATCCTTGTTTTCGGCCTCGCCGTCGACGATGGCGTCGTACGTCTTGGCCCACCAACGAATGTAGCTCGGCTCCAGGCCTCTTTCGATGTAATGGCGTTCGTGCTCCTGGCGGCCAACCGTCTCGACTGCCAAACGGGGGCCGTCGCCCCTGGCGTTGGACACCATTGCGGCGATTTCGTTCAGACTGTGTGCATTGTTGGTCGTGGAGAGGGACACAGTGATTCCAGAATAGCGGGAGGACTCGTCTGTCAGAATCATCGCCGTGCCGAGACCCAGGTCGTCAATGGCAGCACAGCTGATGATGCCGTCGCCAGCCAGGACAATTTCAGATCTTTTCTCCGTCGGCAGCTCGTAGTAGTGGCCTAGATACAGCGGCCACGACTCGTTGTACAGACCCTCGCGGATAATGGTGAAGCCCGTGTCGGTGAGCATTTGCAGAAAGTCTTCGGTGCGGTTGTGGGCCTTCATGACGCCGCTCTTGCTATTGCTCTTGAAGCCCAGGGAAGTGTAGTAGATGTGATTGATGCCCGCGGAGCACGCAGCCTGCACTGCGGCAAAGTGGTGAGCCTCTCGCCCTTGTCCGTACGGCGCGTCGTCGAAATCCATGCTGATCCGCGGCGTCGATACTAGCAGCAGCCGCTCGCCGCCCGCAAACGCCGCTCGCATCGAGTCCAGATCATCGTAGGAAGCTTGTCTGACTTGGACGCCACGCGCTTTGAAAGAATCCCAGTGCTGCAATGAGGGGCTCGAGGACGTCGAAACCACAATGTTGTGGGGCGGGACCAGGTTGTATTTGAGGAGGTTGTGCAAAACAGCCCCACCCAGCTTGCCTGAGGCGCTGGTGATGACCAACTTTGGCATAGTTTGTACTGGAAGGTGGAAAAGTGTTGACACGAGAAAGGGGATGTCTGTCTTTTCCTGATTTCAAGATGATCGGTTGCACCAATAGCATTACAAATCAGAGTGGATCAAACCCACCCAACCAAGACTTGGGGTACATGGAAGGGCTCCTTCTCCATATGCTCGGGGAAACCAAGTCCGTCTCCCGTCTCCCGGTCCCGTCTCCCCGGAATCAGCTGACATGCGTGTCTAGAACGGCGAGATTTCCTTCTAGGTTTGTGGAGAAGGAAAGCTTCACAAAAGCCCACAGATAGGCCAGAGCGTCCAGAATGCTGGGTCCATTGTGCGGAAGACGTGAAGAAAGAAGGGAATCCGCTGTGAAACCTAGCTGCCCCGGTCAAGAAACTGGCCACTTTGACATACCTTTGCTGTCCCGTAAACCCTGGGATCAAGAGATAGTGGTGTGCTCACTCGGAATCTTCGAAGCCGATCTTAAGAATACTCTTTCGACGGGCTGGGCTCTTTCGATTGTAAAATCCGTAATCGTCTCGAGGTGCAAGACAATGTATGTGTATCAGATAGTCGTGTGATCCGCCGTATGTTGTTTGAATAAGGTTCAGAATCCAACTAGATGTCGGTGTTCTAGAACCGAGTGAGATGCTTCGGCGCCGTGCAGCGGCCGTCTGGGACGCGCGCGGCGGACAAGGTTGGCAAACGATCGAGAATGCCCGCGATAGGCCGATATGGCTGTCAGAGGAGATGGGAAATAGGGAAGCTTTGACAGCGCCGGGAGCTGTCAAAGCCGTGCAGACGGCTTGGTGACGCAATACTCAGGGCAACTTACTTTGCCGTTATCGATACGACGCGAGCTTTGGCACGGCCTCTGTTTTTGCGGGCAGGGTCCACGGTAGCATCCCGCATCCAACGTCCTGTCTCACGTCGCACAGCATCACCACTTCCAGACAATCGAACCTCCGCCATGGCCGACGCGAACAATGAGCACCTCGTCCGCTCCGACGATCCGCAGCATCCGGCCAACCTCATCTGCGAACTGTGCCGCAAGTTCTACACCTTAGGATGGGTACGTCGATCTCTCCAGCTTCGCGACATCGCGCCGTCGTCTTCTCCACCACCACTCAATCCGGGACAATTCGACAGACAGACCATGGCTGACACTGCTCTCCGCGCCACAGGTGACCGGCACCGGCGGCGGCACGTCA